TTTATTTAAATAAATTCACTTTATTTATGTTTTAATTGAAGGAGATAAATGATAATATAATCATGTTGTTAAATACATTAATAATGATACAATGAAAGAATGACATATATATGAATTGAATAATTTAGAATATTTTGTTTTAAAATGAAGGATAAGGATAATAATGAATCTATGTACATTTGATAGATGATTGGTGATATTATGCATAACTCTGTAGTGATGTATATTATAAAGATATCTTATTGTTGATAAATAGTTTAATAAGGAAGTAATGAAAGATTGGTACATGTATGAAGTGAGTATTTAGAATACTTTGTTTAAAAATGAAGGAATAACATTTTTGCTTGAATGTATGATGTACAAGGACAACAATGAACATAAGCATAGTTGATGGATGATTGCCGGGATTATGCATAATGGAAAGTAGTGATGTATAAACATGAACAATTGGTAAATTCTTTTACACTGTAAAAATAATCAGAATGAGATAAGTGATTACATAAACGTATATTGTTATTAAATAGATAGTCAAGGATGCAAGGGAATTAGGTTTGCTGAGAAGAAAGAAATATTAACCGTAATTGAATATCTGATGTACAATGAAAGTGAGGTACTTAGTTATATTAGATGGAAATTTTGTGATTGTATACGTAATTGAAAATATGGATGCACAAATGCTTGTAACCAAACAACATGCTGTATGTAATGAATGAGAATTTTTTTTATGTTGTCTTCTATGTTTAAAAATAAAAAATTTTTTTTTAAAAAAGGCATCTGATTATGGGCCACACAAAATACTGGAGTGAAGAGCCATTGCTCTGAGCAAGATGTTTCCCAAGCTCTCATTTTTTAGGAGTTATTATAGTTCTATTTGTTTGTTTGTTTGTTTGTTCATTCATTCATTCATTCATTCATTCATTCATTCATTCATTCATTCATTTTATTTGTTTTATTTATTTAATTTATTTTGTTTGTAAAATATTTATATATCCATTTATTGTAGTGGTAGTTCTATTCATTCATTCATTCATTTTATTTGTTTTATTTATTTAATTTATTTTGTTTGTAAAATATTTATATATCCATTTATTGTAGTGGTAGTTCTTGTTAACATTTATGTATTTATTTTGTTTTGTTTTGTTTTATTTTATTATTTGTAAAACATTTATATAGCTGTCCATCTTTCAAGCAAGTCTGTTCACGTTCTAATATTAGAGTGATGATGGTGAGGATTAAATACAGCAAAAACAGAAAAAACAGAACAAGATCTTCTTCATCTGAATCCTTAGGAATTAACTAGGGGGGGGGGGACCTATCCTTGCTACAGAAAATGGCTTGTATAGAAAGAAGTACCTGAAATTAATCACCCACTCTTTTTTTTCAGTGTAATGCTTTTTACAGTATCAATTTTATTGCACAGCTTCTGATTTACCCTTTCAATAGTTGCACCTTTTTCTGCAAGACATTAGATGTAAGGCATCTGTATTAGGTAGTTCATTATGGTTTAGTGCACATCAACCCACAGCATCAAAGGCATTGTATGCTAAACACATGATGCAATTTTTTAAAAAAGGCAATCGTGTGAAAAGTGCTTCAATTTTTTAAAGATCTCATTTCCTTAAAGAATGCTATAGTGAAAAACAAGGAAGTTGTTTTTAGCAACACATTTGGAATGATTCACGCACACACAGATACGCAAATGCTGCTTTGACTAAAACATACCCACCCTGCTCCTCATGCCATGGAAAAATGTTCCAAGGCAACAAACATACTTCAAGCTTTGCAAAATGAATACAAAAGGTACAGTAATGGAAAACAAATTTTGCCCAATAATTAAACCATTTAAGATGAACTCACAAATTGCTTTCTATAGAACAATATAGTTGGGAAGGTGGCCAAAGCCCAATTTAGCCAGGGCTTGTTTCTTCTCTTTGATTTTGCAGATAGATGCCCTCCCACCATCTGAAAGCATTAATGAAGTTGTAATTTAAGAAAGCCTGGAGAAAAAAATAAATCCACAATGATATACTGTATAACACCATGATGGTGAACCTATGGTGCCTATGGAACCTATATTTAGTGACACGTCAGCTCTGGCACGCACCATTCCCAGGCTTCAGGAAAGCCTCCAGAGACTGGGGAGGGCGAAAAATGGCACCATAGGGCCAACAGGAAGCTTGGAAATTATTTGTTTCCGTGGGTCTCTGGGGGAGGGCTGGGGGAGGATGTTTTCGCTCTCCTCAGGCTTCAGGAAAGTCTCTGAAGCCTGGGGAGGGGGTTGCACATGAATGGCCAGTGGGGGGGCAGGCACATGGGCAGGTGAGTGGGGAGATTGAGTGGAAACACGCATGTGTGCAACAGTGCGCATGGGCACAATTTTGGCACGCCATAAGAAAAAGGTTAGCCATCACTGGTATAGGATGTTTGTTACAATCACCTTTGATTTTTTTTTTTTAAAAATGAATGTGGCTGTAACAAATAGATCTGATCTCAAGATCTCCAATCTTTGTTTGATCTAACTCTTATGCTGCTGAATTCAGCATAAGTATTCTATAGTATTTTAATAAAGTATATAAAATCATAGAGAAGGAAACCAATGTGTACACTGTGAGAAACTGGGTGAGGAGTAAAATGATATGGTTGCTGTTTATGTGATGGGCAGAATAATCCTATACATGCTTACTCAAATCCTATTTTATTCCATGGTCTTCCCTCTTTAGGGAGTATATTTAGGATGGCAACCTAAAACTACTACATAAGCTTGCATGCTTTGAAGTAAATAATGAGAGTGCAATCTGTTTACAAGACCTAGGAGACTATTGTTTCTTGCTTCCCTAATTTTCCTGGCCATCATTCTGGATACCATTGTTGCCCCCAAAACCTGCAATTGTAGTACCTGGAGGGGACAACATACCCAAATTAGATAGAGATGGGGGGAGGGTAGGAGATAAATAATTTCTAGAATTCTCCATGCAAGAAAACTTGTGTGAAATTTAGCTAGCTTGAACCAGAGGGGGGGGGGGGGAAGAAACCAGTGAATTCTTTCATCAGCGTATACAAACAGATGCTAGGTGCTCCTTTTGATCTAGATCAACATCCTGGAGAGCAAATTGAGGAGAAATAGGATACACACTTGGATGTCCATAACAGATGAACAGCCACTCTGACCCAGGAAGAGCTTAATACACACTTTGTATTTCTAGCATATATGGATGCATATTTGGCTCAGAAAAACATGGTTGGCTATGACCTGCTCCTTCTACTGGCTCTCAGGCTCTTTAGACTTTTTCCATCACTCCCCGTGGCAAACTCTGGGGAGAGTGCAGCTCCATTGATTGCCTCCTGCGAACTTCACGCTCTTCCCAGTCCTCTTCTGGCTCATAGCCTTTGAAGATTGCTAGCCTCTCTGACAGAGACTTTCTGTGAGGGAAGAAAGCATAATTGTAGAGCAAGGAAGCCACCACTGCTCCAACCATGGGCCCCAGCCAGAAGACCTGCACATGGAAATGACAACATGAGAGAGACTCAGAAGCTGGTAAGACAGCATGATTACTCTTGGTTAACACACACAAAAAAACCAAAATAGCAATAACAATTATATATCACCCCATAGTGCTTTACAGCACTCTCTGAGCAGTTTACAATGTTAGCACATTGCCCCCAACAATCTGGGTCATTTTGTAATCATCTCTTTACTTATCTGTTATCTATTTCATGCTTGATGAAATAAATAAAAAAGAAAGAAAGCGGGGTCGATCAGGATCCAACCCACGGCTGTGGGCAGAGTCAGACTGCAATACTGCATTCAAAGCACTATGCCACCAGCAAAGACATTTTTTTTCCTTCTCCTTCTAGTTTTTATTTTATTTTACTTTTATTAAATATTATTTGCTGCCCATCTCACCATTTTTGAAGGCCTCTTTCTACTTATTTCTCCAAATCACTTGCCTTCCTAGGTTTCTCCAGCATTTACAAAACCATATTTTTTGGAAACTCCTGATAACTTTTCATCCTTGCATCTGGAATTCCTTCTCTGTGACCTCCAAACCTTTCCGCTTGTCCTGAGATATGAGTAACTCGATCAATAACAGCCAGAGATCCTTCTGCTCATAATTCAGCTCTTGGTGACAATGGGGCAGCTAAACTAATGATTACTAGTTAATATCTATCTATGGATAGATAATGGACAATGGGATTTATAGTTAAGCCCTACATTTGGAAAGCACCAGTTTGAGGAATGCGGACTATACAGAGTGCCAAAGTGCATCCAATGTATTACTGGAAAAGCAAACGAGGTATTATTTCCTATTATTCAGACGTCAGTGCTGAGTTATTTCATACCTTCCAACTAAAGCAACATAACTTAAGATGCTAACAGTACAGTTCCTCTGGTGGGGAGTTCATGGACAACTGCCAAAGGATTTTGCTTCCTTCATTCTTTCACTTCATTGAATATGAATGTTAAAAGTCTCCAAAAACATAAAACAATAAATCCAAAGTCATGTCCAGTAACAAACTGGCCTGAAACTGGTTGAAACAAGACCCTGAAACATTCACATAGAGCTGGAATGGGGTGCTAAACCATTGCCAAACCATTGAAACTTATCATTAAAAAATTGTGTGCCAATTGCAGCCTTTCTTGGAAGGGGAAGCTCTGCTTTCAATCATTCATACCTTAATCCCTTCCTACTTTGACTATTGTTGTTGTTAGTTGTAAAGTCATGTCTGACCCATCACGACCCCATGGACAATGTTCCTCCAGGCCTTCCTGTCCTCTACTATCCCCTGAGGTCCATTTAAGCTCACATCTACTGCTTCGGTGACTCTGTCCAGCCACCTCATTCTCTGTCGCCCTCAATCTTTCCCAGCATTAGGCTCTTCTCCAGTGAGTCCTTCCTTCTCATTAAGTGGCCAAATTGAATTTCATCTTCAGGATCTGGCCTTCTAGAGAGCAGTCAGGATTGATCTCCTCTAGGACTGACCGGTTTGATCATCTTGCTGTCCAAGGGACTCGCAGGAGTCTTCTCCAGCACCATAGTTCAAAAGTAATGTAATCTAAATGGGGCTGTCCTTGAAGAACATTTGGAAGCTTCAGTTGGCCTACACGTAACAGTACTGCACCGTTTAGGATGCACCTGGTATTCCAGGTAGCATCACTGCTTCATAAACTGCACTGATTTCCAATATGCTTCTGGATACAATTTAAATTGTTAGAGATCACCTGTAAAGTCCTACATGGCACTGAGACAGATTATTCATGGCACTGCCTATTCTCAGTTATTTCCACTTATCCCACTGGATCCAATAGCGTAGGCATACTCTGGATCCTTCCTCTGAAACAGCGCCATCTAATGGAATCTAGACAAAAGTACCTTTCAGTTGTGGTGCTTGCCACCTCCAAGATCTGGATGGCCCCGAGACTATTAGACATCTGCAAAGTCCTGAAGACTTGACTTTTCCTTCAGGCAAAGGAGCATGTATGGTTCTGGCACTGTTATTTTATTATTTCTTCTTTTTGTGTTTTGTTTTGTGAATTGCTGAGATCACAACAGTGAGATAGGCAGCAATATTGTAAGGTCCTGATGACATGGTTTTGCCAGTGGGCCTGGGGAACCCAGAGTGGGATGAAGCCCATTAAATGGATGATTTGAATGTGCGTTGTCACCAAGGGTTAGTGTGTGAGGGTTTATTATTTTATTATTATTTTATTATTTTTATTTCTTTCACATTGTGCTGTAAGCCACAAAATGTTTTGCACGCCGAACCGGTAGTAATGCCGGCAGGAACCCACCCCTGCATTCATCCCTCTGTATTCAATCATTCCTGTGCACAGGAATGAATAAACCAAGACAAACTTCAAGTCTAAGTGAATCTGGAGACCTTGGTAGCAAAGGTGCTATTCAGCAGGTTCTGATGAGTTCTGGAGAATTAGTGGTGGAAATTTTGAGTAGTTCAGAGAACCGGTAAATACCACCTCTGACTGGCCCCCACCCCCATCTCTTCTCTGCCTCCTGAGTCCCAGCTGATTGGGAGGAAATGGGGATTTTGCAGTAACCTTCCCCTGGAGTGGGGAGGGAATGGAGATTTTAGAGTATCCTTCCCCTGCCATGCCCACCAAGCCACCAAGCCACCAAGCCATGCCATGCCCACCAAGCCACGCCCGCAGAACCGGTAGTAAAAAATTTGAATCCCACCACTGCTTGGTAGCCTTGTAATACTGTGGTGTCTCCTACAGTAAACAATATATCCCTTCCTTATCTTCCCATCCTGCTCCTCACTTCTATTGGCACATGGATGTGAGAAGAGGGAGACTGTATTCTGAGGAATCACACCCATGTTCCCTGGTGTGAAAAGAAGGGCAGAAAAGATGTTTATTCATCACATTCTTGGTCACACTTGGCTAGAGCAAGGACATGGATTGTGTGGAGTCTTCAGCTTCGGCCTCTAAGGCCCGCTTCTTCTTACACAATTTCTTTGAGACTCAGAATCTTAGTAAGGATTTGTTGGGGTAGGAAATCTTGATACTTCCATCTAAGTAATTTTAGCAAAAACAAAAATACGTTTTTTTTCTCCATCATTAATAGGAAGAAAGAAAATGCAATTCCCCTCTTAAAAAATTCTGAGGGAAGAGAGGATATATGCTTGGCTTGTTCCACAAGAAGTTAGAGAATATCTGTCTATGTACATATGAGATGTAGGAAGTTAACACCTGGCCCTCTCCTAGAAAAATGAAACATCCTAGGAAATATTGAAAAGGCAGAATATTATATTTCCCTGGATGTGAAAAGGGAGAAACATGTTTTAAAAACAAAGTAGCTCCCTGCAGCTTCCTGTCCATCCCCCTTTGTCAATGAGCCATTAAGATGCCCAAGCCAGTCTATTCTACATAATAAAGAGTTTTCCCCTTCAGCTTCAGGGTGATGGGATCAAGGCATGATAGTATTAGCCCTTTACCCAACTCACCACATGGCATCTGAGAACTCAACCAAACTTGGACTCAGCCCGCAGCCTAGAGAGTTGCCCCTGCATGGCCCCATGGGAGTCTGACAACCAATCAGAATACATTTCTTACACAGGAACAGGAAACAGAGAGGTGGGACTGAACAGAGTATTAAAAACCCTCCTCTCGCTCTCTTCTTCTTCACCCAACACCTGGAAGCATGTGATCATCTTTTCCCCCAGGACCTCATGTGGTCCTGTCCCCCATTAAACCATCTTTCTAAGCAGCCTCCATATTTCCAGTGTCTTTTTCCCCACTTGGAACTGAACCCAGAAGGACATTTCTTCCAACAGAGAGACAAAAGAGAATATGCAAATATGTGAACCTGTCAACGATCAAGTTAATGAATATGCTTGCTTTTATGGATTATGGAATGTCCCCAATGGTTGAGTTCCGAAAGATCCCCAAATCCCCAAACATTGATATCCCTTTTTAGTGGTCTGTTGCAAGTATAGATTATCTGGAGCAGACTTTCTCAACCTTCTTACCCTGAGAAAAACTTTGAAATAAATGTTTGGGTTTGCTGGAACTCCTGCATTAAAAATAACAAAAAATGTGATTACAGTGGATTTAATAGCATACACTATGTTTTCTGGTTTGCGGTGAGTAGAAAATCCCATTATTCCAAGTGTTAGCATCGCACTGTGTTTGAAATTAAAGAAAATATGTTACCCAATGGTGGTCAAATTCACCAAGAATCACGGCAGGGGCAAAAGATCTAGCAGGATTCATGGAACAACCAGTGTAGTAGATCTAGGTAGAAAAAATAGGATGAAATTAGTGATATATATGAGTCAAATGATGATGGATGGAGGCTGGATGAAGACTGTTACTGAAGGATACAGAACATAATATCATCTGCTGGTCCGCTATGAGTTGATGGGGGGGGGGGGTGGCATGTTTTTTGTCTGCCCAATCTAGGGCTGAGAGAGTCCTGCCAATGTCATCCAGCCAGCTTTCATATCTAAGAGTGCACTACTGTCTGAGTTTTAGTTATTCATTTATTTTCCACATTTTTCTACTGCCCATCTCTCTCAGAGTTTTGATGCTTATGGTCGGCACCAGAGGTGGGTTCCTACCAGTTTGCACCAGTTCGGTAGAACTGGTTCGTCAAATCTACCGAACTGGTTAGAAGAGATTCCACCAATGGACCCAGAAAGCAGGCCACACCTACAGAAGAGGTTCCAAAATTTTTTGAAACCCACCACAGACACACACACACACACACACACACACACACACACACATGGCAGTGTGGTATAGTAAAGGTGCCGATCAGTGATGGGTTTCAAAAAATTTTGGAACCTCTTCTGTAGGTGTGGCCTGCTTTCTGGGTCCATTGGTGGAATCTCTTCTAACCAGTTCGGTAGATTT